GAAAGGCAACACCTTCGGCGCTGGTAGGTGTGATAAGTCTTTTGTTGTATATACAGTCTTGACTAACATGTATATACTGCTATTGTAGATCAATCTCCCCCTGCAGACTGCAGTACGCGTTCCAGTCAAGTGCCGACTTCTTCTGATGCTGGGGTGTTGGCAGAGTGTGTCGTTCATTCGGCAAAGCAAATTGACGCGTGGAGGAACCACTCAGGGCAGCTAAAACGTGTACAACGCAGCTGCAAAGTGTGCTCCATGCTGCGGACGGACGGGAAACGCGGCGGGACTACTACGTACTTCTGCGATGTATGCTTCACCTCGCTTCCCCCGTGTACCTGTGCATGAAACCGAAGCATACCATGGACGGAGAGCTGCGAAGTTGCTGGGGTATCTGGCACAACTTGTTCAAGAACGGAACGGACATTCCTGACGACATCCAGGGTAAAATACGTCTGCGCAAGTCGCCCGCCAAGTCGCCCGCCAAGCGCCGCCGAACGTCATCCGAAGAAGAGAAAGATTCAGAGTGAAAAGTGAGAGTGAGCGTTCTTTATATAACTAGTCAAGATTCTAATGCGATGATTGCGTGGGCTCTAGAAGCGTCTCTATCCATATGACCTTTAGTTTGTATGTTGGCGATGAAGACACTTCACGTGATTGCGTCCGTACCTCAACTTAGCATACTTGATCTCAGTATGCAACTGATCTGCATTTTCTGGATCACCTTTATTGTTAAATTTTGACAAAACTCTCTAGATTCCAAGGGGGATCGATCTGGTTCTGTACACGTGCTACGAGGTGATATGCAAGATCCTAGTGCAATGCCAGTCCTTATACAGCGCATTCGCGGTGTATATACAGCACAACGCGCGATATTCGTAGCATCTACGCCGCTAACCTATTCATTCACCATCTCGCCCAACCCTTGAGGTATACAATTCTCTAAACTATAGTATGCTGTATATACAGGTCGCGTCACCCTCAAAATCCTTCGGGTTGAAGGGGTTAAGAATGTTTTCTTTGTAGAAACATCGTCACTATCAACTAATCAATAATTCCCCTCAAGTGCGCTGCTTCGGTACTACAGAATGAGGTACATGCTAAAATCTCTGTTTGTTTAGGAGAATAGATAAACAAGTTTTTCCACGTAGTCGAAGGCTCCAAAATACGTTGTATACACTTGCTGTACTCAAAAATACATATCAGGTTTGTCATTTTAGTAATTTCAAATTATCTCCATAGTAATCTCTGGGAACGGACTGCATCTTGGATTGGTCTTGCTTTCCAGCGGAACAATCCGCTACACAATTCTTTGTGGTGTTCGTCAAGAAACGAAGCACGGAGAAGGGAGCCGGCGGTGCTCCCTGGAAGTTATTAATAGCCGTGTTGTATTGCTGAGTAAATAGCAAAGTGCGGTCCTACTACATGAGCTAGACTACATGGTACGGGTAGTCTTCAGCTGCATTGGTTGGACATGGAGGCTGTCATCACGTGTGGCGTTACTCGGTATCCTGTCATCATGGATGCCGAACGCTGTATACAGGGGTGTCGATACGCGGAAGATCATGTGATCTGTAGTCTTCAACTTGTAGCTGGAGCTGGATTGGATCTTAAAGTACATGGGTGTATTATAGCATGCACTCAGAGCATCTGAAATGATATAATCTCGATAAGGCGGTGAAGTGTTTTTTTTTCAGTGACCAGTGACAGCTTCGATGGCGATCACTTTTTGTTCGAGATGGAAGGCAGTGACGGATCAGATGTCGACAGCAGCGGTAGCTTCGGTGGTGAGCGACTCCTACAGGAAATTGTAGAAGGAAGTGACAACGCTACCGACGACGAGGGCACTGAGAGCGTTGCCGATGAGCGTTTTCTTGTCGAAATGGAAGGAAGTGAGAGCGCCGATGGTAGCGAGGGTTTCGATGGTGCTCGATTCCTCCAGGAAGTTGACATGAGTGAGAGTGGTGCAGATGACAGCAGTGAGAGCGTCGATGATGAACGGTTTCTTGCTTACTTCGAAAGTGAGGAGGGCAGTGAAAGTGGCAGCGCATAGCCAGCGTCTTCGATCGCAAGTTTAATGATGGCAATAAACAAAATTCTATCATTTCATCTTAAGTTTTTTTTTAAAACTCTCCTAAAAAAGCCTAGCAAAATCGAATATCCTGTCGTATTTGATAAAATTCACGTCATCGAGTCGAAGTATGATACAAAGAATTGCTGGTTGCTGGGTTTTCGTGCTTGCGCTTGAAGCTGAATAGTTCACTCAGTTCATACATGTAGATGTCCGCTCAATGGATTCTTCAACCGTCTTCTATTACGTAGATCGCCATGTTGATAGAATAGTTGTAGTGCTGCAACGAAGGTCTTTGCTTTGATACACCTTAAAATTACTCACGGAAAATGCCTAGTCATTCGTACATTCCAGCAGCAAACACAGACACATTCAGACACGTACGACACTCGGGTAACATCTATCGTTTGCACAAATACATTCACTGGCTCGAAGCCACTCCAAGGTCTCTCTACAAGCGATGATACTTATGAAATATCGGTATTTATTTTCACTGTGCGAAAGTGGTGACGATTGTACCCACTTAGGTACGAAGTCACAAAACCATTGTGTGTCTCTAATACGGTATTTATCAAAAAGTCGATCTTCAACGCAGCACTTACATCCTACATCCAATCAGTGCGTTTCGTGCTCTTCAGAAATGTTTACCTCACGTCCAATCGCAAAGGCGAGAGGCGGTCTGATCGTGCGACAAATCCAGTCAGTGTCGCAGGCTGGTAAATATTGACCAATACACGCGCGAGTTTAAAGTGTGACGCTGCTGGATATTACATGTATCTAGATAGCTCGGTTACCGAGTCGGTAAGGTAGGCGCAGTCAGTAAGATGAAACCTATATACTTCTATGTATTAGAAAGGTCGAGTGTACTCATGCGAAAAGGAAGGTCAAAGCAGGAAGGCAGTGAATACGTTCCGTACAGTATTATAAACAATTCGGTAGCTAACAGTTTCTTTTATTTCTCAAATTGTTTACTGTTTTGTCTTATAAGTACAGTGCAATGCTGAGTATATGTACCGAATAAGTACATTATACCAAACCCTGAAAAATACAAGCTATAAGATACAGTAAGGATCGTGGACCATGGACTTCGTTTAACGCCGGTGGATGGTCACTTTACTATTTGCATTCCAGCCCCCAAGCTCTTCAGATCCTCGACCAACGTTTAAAAGCATACTATGCGTCTGATTGCGGGCGTGTTGGCAGGTTTTCTGGTAATCTGCGAAGTCACTTCGACGAGTGAGTCCGACCGTACCATGGCGTACCAGACGGCCGACACGGATAATACTCAGCCCACTGGCGCTGTGGAAAACAGCATCGCGAGCAAGCAATTTCTAAGGACCGACGTGGTTATGAACCGTGGCGAAGAGAGAGGCTTCGAGGCTCTGAAAAAATTGCTACCTGGAACCAAGATAGTCGCGAAGGACGGAGCGTCATTTTCCGGGGCCTTCGTGAGAAAAATGCTTGGCAATAATGCCTTTCGGAACCAAGAGTTTAAGCGCTGGACTCGATCTGATTTAGACGGAACAGCCCTTCGGCAAATGCTTGGGGACATGAATAAGAAAGGCAGAACGGAGCTTCTAAACAGATATACTGCTTTCCTTGGCCCAAAGGATGGACTTGTATACCACAAGCCAGGGCCTATTGTCTAGGAGAGTGACATTTTCAAGACGAGTTAGGTCGCTTTCCAATCAACATGACGCCGGCTTTATCATCAATTCAGACTTCAATTCGAAACACCGCAAGTTACGTTTATTTTACATGGTACAGTACTTGAAGAACTCGACAGCTGGAAATGGGGAGCGGATTGCTTTGAATGCCGGTGACCACCGAAGCCACTACCAGGTTACATTGTTAGCTTTTGAATAAAGGATTTTTTTTCCAAAAAACTATCGCAATTTACTTTAGTTTATTAATAATAAATCCTTAATGAAGCGTAGTGCTACAGTAATAAGACAGCTCTACTTTCAGCTTCGAGGTGTCTTTTCCAATGATGACAAGAAATCAACCACGCCGTCTTGGTTGTGCGCAAGAGCAGTGGCAATGCAATCCATTCTCTCGTCGTCTTCGACGTCAGTCGTTGCCCCATACTTCACTAAAGCCGTGACGACCTCTTGATGACCATTTTTGCAAGCTCCAAGCAGTGCAGTGATTCCGTCTGGTCCTCGATGATCTACTTTCGCTCTGGCTTCTACATGTAGAAGCACCGACACTACATCTAGATGTTCTTCTATCGCAGCTTTCAGCAGTGCACTCTCGCCCTTTTTGTTGGTATAATCAACCGATATTCCGTTCTAGATCAAAGTCCTCACTACGCCATCAAGCCCCGATTCGGCTGCCAGTAGCAGTGCATTGTCCCCGTCTCCGTCGACTGCATCGATGAATACCCCACGCTCCAGAAGTAGCATCACAGTATCTTCGTACCCATGTTCCGACGCTATGAGCAATGCTGAAGTGCCATGTGGACATTGTGCGTTGATATCGGCCCCTGTCTCCACAAGCAAGGTGACTATATCCACATGGCCTTCCCCTGCAGCACTGAGAAGCGGCGTCCACCCTCTGCTATTCGTGAACTCGATGCTCGCTCCTTTATCAAGCAGCTGCTTAACACAGTCAATGTAGCCATTTCCAGCAGCAAGGATCAGCGCTGTATCGCCGTCTTCGTCCATCAAATCCACTGTTGTATCACGATTGAGTAGACTTTCCACAACCTCAACGTGTCCATTCTGACAGGAGACATGAAGAGCTGTTGACCCACTTGTGCTATGTATATTCACGGCTGCTCCGGTGTCCAGAAGTAGCTTCACTACGTCGACATGACCCCCTGCTGAAGCTTTCATTAACGGGCTCTCACCGGAGATATTGACCGAATCGGCCGAGATTCCCGCTCCGTGCTCGAATAAAAACTCGACAATTTCGACAATACCGTGTCCCGCCGCAGTGATTAACGGCGTGTCGCCATCCTCGTCCTCTACGTCAATACACGCTCCATATTCCACTAGCGTCTTCACGACAGCGAACGTGCTGTTCTCACATGCGATATGGAGAGTGGAGAAGCCGTTCGGTAGCTTCTCGTTGACATTTGCTCCCTGCGCTCGAAGTAACGAAATGATGGCTACATCGCATCCTCCACCACAAGCTTTCATCATTGCAGAGAAGCCTCCTTTGTTCACTCACTTCTGCTCCACGTTCTATCAAGAACGTCACCACTTTGCCATGTCCACTCGCAGCAGCACAGATCAGAGCTGTGTCACCACTGTCATCCGCCTTGTTGATCGAAGCTCCGTGGTCATCAAGCTGCTTGACGACCTCCAAATGGCCACGAGCACTCGCAAATAGGAGCGCTGTTCCTCCGTCCAGACGCTGTTGGTTGACACCTGCGTCACACCCCACCAGATCTCGATCTACTACTGTAGGTCAATTGACGCACCATGGTCGGGAAGCAGTTGGACGACGGTAATGTCTCCAAACTCACAAGCAAGATGAAGCGCACTGACTCCATCCAAAGGCTGTTTGTTCACATCTGCCCCCTTTGACAGAAGCACATCCACGACGCCGACATGACCTTTCCAACACGCACTCATTAATGGGGTCCACTCATCCTTGTCTATAACGTTAATGTCATTATTCAGATTGTTCAGAAGCGCCTCCACTGTCTTCACTTGTCCTCGTTCACACGCAATTCGTAGCGCCGTGTCGCCATTGCGACGTTTGTGGTCGATCCCAACATTCACTTTGGACTTTTCGGAACCTTCCGAGCACCCTCGGGACGACGAGAAACTGGACACAAGTTCAAAGAAACTCAGCTTCTTATCAGCTGGGAGGATCTCGTACACGAGCTGCACCATTTCGCTGTATCCGCTGAAATACGCGACTGTCAGTGGCGGCCAGTTCTGAAAATCACCCGCTAAATGGACATTCGCTCCATTATCCAGAAGAATCCGAACGACATCCAAACGCTTGTACCAAATGGCAGTGAGTAATGCTGTGCCTCCACTGGGTAAACGTGTGTCCATATTAGCGTCTCTATTCACTAGAAATTGAACAATATCCGAGTATCCCAACTGTGCTGCCGTGATCAATGGTGTATACCCTTCATTGTCAGCCAACTCAATAGAAGCGCCACGATTCACTAGAGTCACGACAACATCCATCTGGCCATGCTCACAGGCGATGTTTAGCGCTGTGGCGCCAGTATGGAGCTGTAAATCAATAAATTCCTTCCTTGAACTCGTCTTCAGTAGCGTCTTCACCACACGTACATGACCTTGTTTAGCTGCTTTTATCAACGGTGTCCAGCCGGAAATATTCGCCAAATTAGCGGATGCTCCATGCTCCAGAAGCAACTGGACGACTTGTACACGGTCTTTAAGAGCAGCCGTATAAAGAGGGCTATTACCGTCATCATCTACGTCGTTCACCGAGGTGCTACGCTCGATAAGGACCTCTGCAGCTCCAAAGCTGCCATATTCGCACGCCACGTGAAGACAGCTGTACCCATTTGGAAGCTTCAGGTCGATACTAGCTCCCTTGTCCAGTAACACAGCTACGACGTCATCGTAGCCTTCTTTACAAGCACACATCAATGGAGTCCAGTTATTCTCATCCCTCCAATTGATCGATGCTCCATGTTCAGCTAGTAATCTCACCACGTCTTGGTGGCCGCAGATGGCTGCACTAAACAGTGGCGACGCCCCAGTTGAGTTCTCCAAATCGACGCTCGCTCCTCTCTCGACTAGAAGACGAGCAACGTCACTACTTCCGAATTGAGATGCGATATTAAGAACCGTGTTCCTGCCCATCGCTTGCTTGTCGACGCTTGCTCCTCTTTGCATTAATAATTCCACTACATCTTTGTGGTTCTTTTCCGCAGCACTCAGAAGCGCAGTCCATCCATTGAAATTGACCAAATCCACAAAAATCCCACGCGCCAGAAGGAAATTCACCACATCAGTGTGGCCATTCTCGGCTGCTGTAATCAGCGGACTGTCTCCACCCTCGTCAACTGTAGCCATTAGCGCACCACGGTCCAGAAGCAACATCACCCCGTCAAGGTTTCCGCCTTCACACGCAGTTTGAAGAGCAGTCCATCCGCCGAGGTTTTTCTGGTTAATGGGTACATTTTTATCCAGCAGGGTCCTAACAACGTCAATGTAGCCTTTTGAACTAGCATTCATCAACGCTGTCCAGCCTTTGTTGTTACCCAGATCAATACTCGCATTGTGTTTTATCAGCAGTTTAGACACCTCTGCATGTCCATTAACAGCTGCAACTACATGTAGAGGAGAACTGCCCCCCTCTTCGTCAACCACGTTCGCTGATGCGCCATGCTTGAGAAGCGCTCGAACTGTCTTACTGGGGAAAAACTAACGAGGGCCCTCCTAGAGAGGGCCCTCACACAAAACGGGCAGAGGTATTACCGGTAGTGCTGCAAATAGACCGTTAGTGACGCAGCCGTTAGTGATGCAAAAAGAGCGTTAGTGATGCAAAAAAATCGTTAGTGATGCAATTCACAGCTTGTGACGTAAATAGATCTTCCAAAGTGCTATCTGAACGAAAACAGCTTCAGTCTTCAAATGGCTTCCAACCCAAGACTTGAGTTTCCGCCCGACGGCTATCTAGTGCTGCCCCTCAATCTCACGCAAGCAACTATTTCATGTGTGCTTCGACAAGCAAGACGATCTGATTATATTAGTGTTTTCCGTGAGGTGGGTGGCGAAGAAGACGACACATTCCGAAGCCAATCACGTCAAAATTGTCTTTCGCCACAGATGAAAAAGCTCCACAGGAAAATTGAGGAGGTGGTTACACGAGTTGATGCAAACTTTCGAGCACAAGTTTATTCATTTTTGTACTCGCGCCCTGGTGGGCCTGAGCAAGGACCGCATGCAGACTTCACAAGTAGCGACGTGGAAGCTGTCAAGATGCGTTTTCCCCGCAGCATTCCAGCTAGTGTCGTCGTCGCGCTCGAAAGTGGTACACAATTAAGAGTTTACGCCGGATGTTACACTGTGGCACGCGAGGAGCGATCCCGGTTGGTGGATATCCCTATTGGTTACTGCATTGTTTTGCCGGGGGTTTCTCCTTCTCCATTGTACGGTAACTTGGTTTGTGGTACTCGCTACTGAGCTCCTGTACACGCCAGCCATTCGCGTACGGCAACCCCATCCACAGTAATGGTACTCTTACAACCTTTCAATATGTTAACAACCTTTCGTCTGGTTGGCAACGCTGTACCGGTTACAGTACGGTAACGCTGTACCGGTAACAGTACCGGTAATACCTCTGCCCGTTTTGTGTGAGGGCCCTCTCTAGGAGGGCCCTCGTTAGTTTTTCCCGTCTTACTGCTCCCGTCTTGGCAAGCGAGAAGCAAAGCTGTATCTCCGTCTGTCCCCAGATGGTCGACTTCTGCTCCGTTCTCTAAGAGCAACTTAACTACCTTGGGATACCCCTCTTCTGAAGCACGCATAAGAGCTGTCCACCCATCGGTGTTAGCCATGTCGATCGATGCACCCATTTTCAGCAGCTTTTTGACAATTCTCGTATGCCCATTTTCAGCCGCGCAGACCAACGGTGTGTCGCCATTTTCATCTTTTGCGTCAATATCAGCTCCACGCGCCAGTAAGCTCCGTATAGACGCCATATCGCCGTTCACACACGCAACTCGAAGCGTTGCAGTCGATGAGTCATCGTTTTCAGACCTCTTCCTGAGGTTACTTTGGGGCTCGTCGAGTCCGCAAGCCTCTTCCTCTGGCTCTTCCCGCTCGACTTGTCCTCCTAGGGCGTGTTCGTTTCCAGGCATCTTGCAGATGCTAGCTTGCCAGTATCGTTACCTTTTGAAGAATGGTTGCCAAGTACGAGCTACGAACTGGCCAATGCACCCAAAATGGCGGTCCCACACGCATGCGGCAGACGGCGTTGGTCAAAGACGCAGCGAGCTGAGGTTAGCTAAGTACATGTAGCCATCGTTATTGAGAAAACTACTATTAATCATAATATGACTAATAATAAAAATCTCTTTTACTTACATGAATTTTGAACCTATTCATTTTTATAAATAAAAAATTAAACCAAGAAATGGAAAATTGGTCACAACAACCTTTTAAAAATCTTTGAAAAACATTTGAGTATTTTTTTAAGAACAATTAACAGTTTTACAGATCCGCTTCATGATACATTCGATGCAGCGTTATTGCGTGACGAGCTAAAGACCGCTGAACCCAAGACAGTGGAATGAACTGCTTGCTGACGAGTACACCTAAGGTTGAAGAGCATCGTCAGATAAGAGAGCTCCTACACGTTGAGTATGGACGAATGCTAGAAGCCCGATCTCGATAGATGTATCATGAGGCCTATGTTTCTTTTTCACGTACCCTTTAGGCGTGCAGTCGGTTCAGTATGTTTTCCACCTTGGAAATGCCTATGCTTTTCCTGGGACATGCGGTAACCCACTGCTGGAGATCGAGGTGTTAAAGACTGGGGATGGCTAGGGCGCCGAAGGATATCTTTTTTCTCGTAGATAGTAAAGTGTTCGCGCGAGCAAGCCGTTGTTTTGCTGTTGGGTAGACGGATCTGCTCGGCTGGTGGGTCTTGCGTGTTAACGGGTCGTCATTTTAACAGATCTGATGTATAGGTCGTACTTGGCATGAAGTACTTGAGGAAGTGTTTTCGTGCTACATGTATAACTATACTAGCGGAGCGCTGCCGCTACGCGGCGGTAATTTAGGTTTAGTTCTACTTGCTTTGGCCTTCCCGCCTCCGCTACGCTTCGGCGGGATAACTATTGAGAAAAACGCTGAGCCCATGTGCACCTAAATCGATTCTTTTTAATTTAATTAATTTGGGTCAGCTTGATGCTTACCTAACTTAAGAAATAATTATTCTAATGATCTTGAATCAAGATTCTTGATGCAATCTCTTTTTTATTGCTGGCAATCACTGTATTTTCGTCTTCCACCCAAAACCACCAGCACTTCAAATAACATTTATACAAACGCTTCACAATATGTTTCGTTTAGCGTCGTGCTCGATATCTCGTGCCATTTCTGAGCCGCTATGAAACTTAGCTCATACCAGCACAAACGATAGTAATGGCCTGTCCAGCTTGCACTATTTACCTGCTTGTACTGCCTATTTCAGCTTGTAAATAACTTAACATTGTTCACTTCTCATATCAAACTCAATGAAAGCTAAACTATATTCAAATTGTACTATTTTTAATGTATGTAGCATTCATTTTGTGCTAATTCAAACTTAACACTCGAATCTGTGCCAGTTATGATTGAAGCATTTGAATATTGTGTCGCAAGACGCCTTGCTGCTGTTGCTGTTGACGGTAGTGTTTTCTATTTGATACTTTAACGATGATTTCAGGATTATTGGACGTTATTTAGGCTCCAAGTTTATTAACGTTTCTTTATGGGGTCTACTTAAACAACTATAATTCACACCTCTCGTGTTTTGTTGTTGTCTTGCCGCTCCATTTAAAATCGTATCGTACGCTTTTGTCGACGACACGTCCGCCAGCTAAGTAGTATCGGATTTTGCTGTCTTAACAACTCTTAGAAAACAATGGTTTACAGCAGTAACACATATGAGTTCATTTTATTCAATCCAAAACGATCTATCTATCCTTATGGATCAAGTGACAACGTTTATTTGCAGCGTTTTGTTCTTACGGCCAGCTTCTGTTGTACAAGTACTACGATTTGGCAGCTCAGTCAGCTACCTCACTCTCAGATTATTTATTAATATTTCTACAACAAAACAGTTGTAGTTGTTATAGTCATTGTAACTTGCAGAAACTATTAAGTGCAGAGTATTACATATGTTAGTGTAACCTCGAAAACACGCATTCCTACGTGTACGCTAAGCACCTTGCAGCTTAGGAAGCGTCTTTAGGCGTTTGAGAATAAGAAGCTCTGTCTGTTTAGCACTTAAATATTAAAAGCAACATGCATAATTAGAATTTAAAAAAAATTAATACTTCGTAATATTAAAATGATGCCGCCTTCGGATAATGGATAGTCTTATGCAAATCTCCATACCAAAAAATCTCCGACCTCCGACGAGCTCCGACGGTAGAGGAGGGACGAGATCGGACTTAAAAGAAGTTAAAAGGTAATTGTGGGTAGGGTAATTAGAGACCATGTGCAGATTTGTCTATGCTAGAAATTGCCGAAACGGCACGTTTATAGGCGCACTCACAGACTCTGAAACGGTCTGTGGGCAGAGCAACAGGCAAATATAAAAACGCATGATTTTAAGCTACAGAGCCTTGTGCACTACAGGCTGCAATTTGAGAAATGAGGGCGCCACCCAAAATCGGGGTCCACTAAAAAGAACATTAGTAAAAATTCCGTTTTTACGCCTGCGCGTATTTACCCCAACACGTGGCCTCCTACCAAGTTGGTGGTTAAGAGTGGCCGACAAACAGATTTTTCTGTCATTCACGATTTTTCAGCCGTCAGACGCAAGCCATTAGTGAGTGTGTTCTTGCGTGTTTGTGTGTGTATGCGCGTGTGCGTGCGAGTGTGTGTGTTGTGTAGCCGCCTTGCGCTAAACTCTGTGTGCTGTGATGATGGAGGTTAACATTGCTGTTCCATTAGGAGGTTAAGCTTTGTGTTCTATTGTCAGCGGTTAACATTGTTGTTCAAGTCTCTCTACTCATTAACACTTTCTAAACTTGTAATACGAAGCCGTTTGCGCCTCACTGGATCTTGTTTTGTTTTATCCTTTCGTGATGTTGAGCGTGTTGTCTTCCACAGCCTCGTCTTCGAAGAACTTCTTGCGCACAAGCAAGCGACGCTCCTTCTCGAACGCGGCGACGATGTTTTGGCTCAAGTGCTCGCGTGGCTCCTAAGTTGACTCCCACTCGACGAGGTAGTACGTTTTGCCCTTAACGCGTTTCCAGTTCAAGATCTTGCGGACGTAGTGGATCTTCTCGCTTTCGCTATCTTCGTCACCGTCCACCTCGTCGTTGTCGACAGCAGGAGGAGCCAGCCACTCGCGGATGTCGACAAGCTTTGCCCGCTGGATCTTGCGCTCAGCCAACGAGGTGAAGACGACTTGAATTGCTTCAGGAAGCAGGCTGGTAGAGGCGACGGTAATGTTCATGGTAAGTCGAAGGTGACGAATAGCTTCATCACTAACCCGGATCTTGCAAGACTTGGCCACAGCGATGCACAGGGGCTTGAACTCTTTCGCAGAGCTAATGCCGTTCTTGGTTGGCTTCTTGGTAGGCATCCGAGGCTGAGGTGTCAAGGTTTGAGAACAAAAGGAAGAGTGAACAGCAGAGAGTGCAGCGCGCAAAACTTCGCAAAATATGACTGGACATGACCAGAAAGGTGGGTGCTTTTTTAATTACTTCATGCTCACTAACCCGATCGTGTTGCAAGTATGCGGAGGAGCAAGATTCATGATGAGACCTTGAGCTTGACGTTGTAGGTACTTACCAATGTGCTCATTCAGTTGGCCAGCTTTGTGTAGTTTCCGCATGGACTTCAGGACGTTTTGCGCTCCGCGGGCAGTGACGTTGTGCTGCTGTAAGAACGCCAGCATTGCCTTCTCAGCAAGGCTTCCTGTTTCGAGAACATCGTCGCGGTAGCGAGCAGAGTGCTTGTCCAAGACAAAGCCATCGTAAAGGAACAGCTTCAAGAACGCAACGATCTGCTTGCCTGTTGAGCGTGTGTGCTTGGTTTCAGCATCCGTCAAGCTCCACATGCGCGGTTCTTGAGTGTACCACGCGAACCAGACATCCTTCAAGCTTAGAGCTGGAGAGGTACGGCGTCGCTTTCCTGGAGACTTCTTCTCGCTTGAGTCCTCACTTTCTTCTGATTTTGTAGGCGCGCGTGGGTGTTTGTTTCCGATTATGTCTTCCATTACAGTCAACCGAGCGTCAAGCTTCTTGTTGACCTGGATTAACTGCTCAATCAATGCTATTTGCTGAAAATATACTGGATGCTGGGTGATGTCGTCTGGGTTGTCTTGTGCAAATTTGCTTTTAGAGTCCTCCGCAGTACTTGGGTTTCTACTGAGGTACGCCGACCAAGCAAGCAGATGATTTACAGTGAAGCCTTTATCCTCGACACAAGCTTCCAAGCGCTGAATTACAAGACCGGACGTCGATAGAGTCTTCAGTGACGGATAGTGCCGCAGAAGGTAAGCCATGAGAGTGTCGTGTACAGCCGCGTTAACGTTGTACTGCTCTGATTCCATTCCGGACGAGGACGTGAATAAAGCTGAAGAGACCAAGCGAATACTTTGCCGGGTATAAGAGTCGAATACATCAAGTGACAGCAAAGCGACGGAGTCATCTGGTCCTCGATTACTCAAAACACGAGCCACCTTGTGATCTTCAGCTGGGGTGTTGAAGACGTATGCGAAGGCCTTGTTGGTTGCCGTCATGTTCCACGCGCCTCTGTCGAAGATCCACTGCACACACATGCCAACACTATTCGCATGTTGTGTGCCACCGCGTCTAAACGAATGTGACGTCAAGCGCTGGACAACACCAGCTTCAGGCATTATTCTCGTCAAGACGCGATTCACGTAGCCGTGGATTCCAGTAGTGTCGTCAAGCGGCTTGTTATCATCTGTGGTGGAGTTGAGTGGAGCGACAGCTTCTGGGTTATCGATCAGATCGATCCGTGGTGCTGCCGGAGTCAGGGAAGCTTCGGTCGCCACTTGTTGTTCAGGGAGGTGGTTTAGCAGCGCAGCCGCCGGTGCCGATTGAGTTGCAAGAGCCACAGCGATAGCTAGCAGCGGACACGTGGCGTAGTCGTCGTCGGGAAAAAGGGAGAGACCTTGTTCTTCGGACGTCTTGACACGGATCAGCCTCAGAAAAAATATTTCCCCCGAACCGATGGATAAGTTCACCTTCCGGAGTAGCGAGATGTCAGAGGCTCGGCCAAACAGAAACCAGAGCAAGCACAGCAGCGCCGCGTCTTGGTAGTCCGAAGCTGTTACACCATTTGAAAAGAGGTAGATCATCATCTGCTTGAGTGCTTTCTTCGTGCATGCAGGTGCCTTCTTCACAAAATTGCCTGACTCTCGCTTCATGCAATAGCGCTCCTTTGCCTGTCGGTAGTACTGCATGACTGAGTGCCTAGCCAAGAGGCTGCCCTTCCGTCCTTCCTTGAAAGCGAGATGCATTACAAACTTGTCCACCACGGCCTCCAAAACGCGGGGAGCGTTGTCGCGATTCATGCACACCTCTAGGTACTCCCATGTCACCCT